TCTCTGCCACCTCTTCAGTGCTTTGAGTATTCCAGTTCTCCTCCCTTCCTGCTCTGAGAGCGCACAGAACTGTTTGAAATCCACTGGTACAATTGTCAAATCAATTATTCATTCTCTGCAATTATGCTCGCACAAAGAACATTTTGCTGGTCTGAATGATGATTAAATTAACAGCTATTCCAGCTGCCTGATAACATCTAATAGAATATTCATAAGCCCAAAATGGAATGAATTATCTCCATTAACTTCATCATGCTCACTTAATTACATGCTTGTTATTGTATTTACACCTTGTTAGATACCGCTGAAGCTGATCCAGTGGCTGGCCGGGAATTGGAAGCGTCTGTCATGGGGCAGTTGGAGCGCGTTTTGTAGGAAATGCTATTTATTTTAAATGCTCCACCTGCTGGGAGCCGAGGTTAGTCAGCAGCACTGAGATGAATTGGGAAACGGGGTGTAAAAAGAAATAATGTGCTTCTGACAGGCTCCGTGGCTTTTAAGTTGCTCTCATTCAGCCACTTCACAAAAAATTATTTTATTCCATCTCTCAGTGATGATGACATGATTGCTTTTGGGTAATCATTTACCATTCTGATTTTATTTTTTGAAGTAAATTGTCTGAAGTAATAGGTTCTTGGAATTACAGCGTGCCTTGCTTTTTTCTTAGAACTTTATTTAAGCTTGTCTTCCAGCATTTAACCCGAGTCCCCTCTTTCGTTTGATCTTCTAACTTTATTTATACAACAGTGCTTAATGATCCTGCACAATATGTTTTTTTTTCCCTCTCTGCATCCCCCCCCAAATTCTGTCCAGTATGGTTGACGGTACTTTTTATAACCTCAGCAAGGGGGCTGCATGGGCAATTTTCTTCCGACATGACAAATACAAACACCCAAAACCCAACCCTGATAGAATCGCTTCATTCAGTTGAAAGGAAATTTTTGATCTCTTTCAAGGTGACTCTTTCTCCCCTGAAACATGGTAAGGGGCATGACTCTCACCTTCTATTTTTCACTGTAGACATGGCATTCTTTACATCGCCTTACCCTGTATCCTCCCTTCTTTGTCGCCCTCTGCTCTTTTCCAAACTTCCGCTAGCCAGCGCTTGCTGGTGGTTGGGCCCCCGCAGCACCTCCATTTGCTTCAAGTGGGAAGGGTCAGCATTCACCACCACCAGGCTGCCTCAAGCCTGTGTTTATTGAACATGAACCAGACCAGTGGTGGAGAGAATTATAATCACACTTCTAAATACTTGTCAGATCAGCCTAGTAGAGCTCTTGAGCTAAACCATGGATATTTTATTCTGTTTGAAAGCTGTATTTTGGTATCAACAAAAAAGAAGGAAAAAAAGAAAACCACAGATAATTATTTATAAGTAGGAATGGAACTGAATAGTGGACTAACAGTCTCTTCAGCCCTCAGAAATATTTTTGCATCTAAGACATGATTTAACAGGCGAGAATGGTACTCTAGGCATTGGCTAGTCAATCACACACTATGTGTGCTTGGCACTGTGATTTGTGAATTCTTTTTCTAAATAAGAGTTGACTCAGAGATCTTTTAAAATTTATCTTGATTGAGAAATGTTTACATACTTGTCCTTAAACTTGGGACCCTAAATGTCTTTTTCTTTGAAGTATGGTGTCACTTGAGATCTTTCAGCTACTGTACCTTGCCCGAAACCACAAGACTCCCTTAAGGACTGACATTCAGGAGAAAGGCAGCCAGGCCAGATAGGTCGGATGGATGGCTCTAAACCGTAGAAAGCACAGAGAGAGGTGTGCTCTTCTCTCAAGATTCCTAAAGCCTCCTTGCATTCCACCCCTGCAAAGCTCATCTCAGTTGAGGGAGGGAGGCTATGGATTAGAAAAGGTGGGAGAGCTGAGAACTGTATGGTGGGAAGCCATGCAATTAAAAAACTGACTGAAATTATTACCTGATTTCATAATTGACAGAATATTTAATTCAGATATAGTAAATTGACACACCTCTACACAGAGACAATTATGACTGACTGTATAACACCTGACAGAATCAATTATAACTGACTGTTGTTTGATACCTTTGCACAGAAATAAATGAAACAGACATTCAGAACAGAGACGGCTGCTGCCTGTGTGCCTAAGCCTATCTTAATTAAAATAAAATAACCAGTAGGCGATGTAAAATGTCTTTGCCTTGTGGTTTCTAATTCAGTGTTTCTAAGTCCAAAAAGGATTTTATAAAGATTAAGGGTGAAAAGGGACTTTCAGTTACTGGGATGGAACTGAAATATGTGAAATGGAGATAATTCCCTCAGATGAGAAAATACTCCATTTTTTTCTCAGATAGTGCTAGCATTTTATTTGATCAGATGACTTTTAGATAAAATACTTAAACCAGCCTGTAAATGATGATCTAGTTGGTCCTAAATGGAGACTATTATAAATTGTACAATTTTAAGGTTTTGGATTCTAATTAATAAAAACCAACTTTTAAATTAGTTAGTTGTTCACTTGGTAATCTGATAAAATATTTTATGAATATTTTCTAGGCTTTCTGCCATTGTTGTCATAAGTTTTAGGGACAGAATTTTTTGATGATTACTTTAAAAGCATAAGGGTTCAGAGCATGTCAAAAGGACCAGAGTAGATAAGCATTTGATACATGTTCCTGAAAGGTTATTCTCAGTAAAAGTAAGAAAAGGAGATGAGCTTTGCTGGTGTGTTAAGATAAGTGACTTCTGAGTAGCACTTATAGCCATTAGAGTACCGTCTTGCTGGTGCATCTGTGTGTAGGAAGAGCATTTCCTTATTTCGAAGTTTGGGTTTTTGGTGCTGGTGGCCAGGACATCAGTAGCCATGGCCAGGGATTTCTCTGTGGACTGGGATGGGATGGCTGCAAATCTCTGCCTCTTGGCCAGTGGCCTGTTGGAATCTTTCTTAACAGTGTTGTCTTGGGTGCTAAGCAGCCCCTGCAGGGCTAGCACGCATACTGGCAGGCTGTCTTCAGAAGCCAGAGCTGGGGCTGGAGTTGGGGTTTCATTGGCCACATTAACTGGCTCTCGCCATTTCACATCAGTATTTTCTCTTCAGTTCTAAAGTGGTGAATGTAGTGTTGACAGAAACAGGGTAACAGTTTAATGTGAAGCCTAATGTGGGTGGCTGAAGTACCTAAAGAGGGAAGAGAAAACCAAGAAGAAAGGGTGACTCCTTGCCCTCCCAGTCCCTAGCTCCTATGTGGCCTGTGACAGCTTGTCCAGTTCTGTTTTCTGAAGGCCTTCCATACATTATTGATTAAATTCTCATTGGGGAAACAAGCAGGAGCTTTTATCTGCATCTCTAACCAACGTGGAATGGTGCCTGGGCCGTATTGACCGGCTATGGGATATGCTTGCCGTCACAGTTGTCTTTTACGAAGAAGAGCACCGAGTGATGCTGGTTGTCATTCTAACTCTGCTGTGTGGCAGCGTAAATAGTCCCCTTTCTAACCAACCTGGTGGGAAAAGTCAATATCCCATCAGCAGAGGAGGTAAACACATCAGGAGCTATGTCCTCTCTTCCTCCCCTGCTCTGTATTACTGCAGCTCTTTAAATGTGCTCTCCCCGGTCATCAGATGCATTTGTGTCATTCACATGCACAGGGTTGCAGGCCTGCAGTTCTGGCCTGCCGGGAGGCAGCTACACTGGTTGTGGCCTTTGTTGTATATTCCCAGACTCCGATAATTAGAACTTTCAAATTGTCTTTCTATAGTCAGTTAATGATGCGCCCCCTCCCTTCCCCGCCTTCGTTTTCTACCCTCTTTGGCCATTTAAATCCCCTAAAAAACTTTTTGTTGTTGTTTTTGGAAAGGCAGTGATGTAATTTAGAAAAGATTGTGGAGAACAAATGCGAATGTGTAGCTAAGGAACAAAAATCTTGAGACCAAGTTTTCGTTTTCCGGGGTTTTGTGGGCTTCAGTGCTGCTCTGTTGTTTCAGTGGGTTTTTGCTTTCAGTGATTGATGTGCTCTCCCTTCCATGTTTCCTTTCCTATTCCAAGGTGCTGGGCAGCCTCCCTCCCCTGAGGCACCTTGGCACAGGGGGTATCCGGGGCCCTCGCCTCCGGAACAGCTGGTTTCTGCGAGCAGCCCATCTCTGTGGAGCAGGGGCACTGGGGAGAGGGCACAGAGGTGAGCCTCTCCTTGGAGTATGCGCCAGAGGTCTGCTTACCTAAGTTTGCACATCTACATCCCTGATTACCTATTGGCTGACCTTGGGCAAGTAACTTAACCTCACAGTTTTCTCAGCCATAAAATTAAAAGTCAGCCTTGCCTATGGGGTTTGGGAGCGGCTTTGAACAAAGACATGTCATCTTAACCATGCTGGGCAGGGTTAGCTCCCCCAAAAGATCAGACCTGAGTATAGCAAGCAGCTCTACTGCTCCTTTAAAGGAACAAAGTGAAGAAGTAGCGGACTCTAGGGAGGGAAAGACAGAGATAGAGCCTTCTTAGCATAGGAAAGCCAGGGATGAATGGGTAGAAGAAGCAGGGTACAGAAACTGGGGTGGCTACGAGTTCACACCATGTGGACAAAGTCTTAGCAATGGACAGGTGCTCTCTGGGCAGCTCCCCTCTCCTCTTTCAGCAAAGGAAGTTTTGTTTAGCAGAGGGACACAGATGGAGAGACTAGAGACTGACTGGGCCCAGTTGATCTGGGACAGGGTATTTGCAGCCACATCCAGGTGTTACATGCAGTTGTAGACACAGGCTCAGAGTGGCCCCGGCCAGTGCACCTGGCAGTGAGGTGCTGGGAGGAAGGGACAGGTGGGCTGGCAGAGGAGAGGAAGACGGTCTTCTACTGAGTAATGAGTCTCAGGGTGCCCCTGGCATTGGACTGGCTCGGGGGTAGACCACGGAACCTTGGACATGGGGAGCTGTGAACAGCATCTGCATCCTTTTCTCCAGCACCTGAGGAATGCTAAATGGTCTTTCTAGAAGCTATCTCTGAGACTTCTAATCCTTTTGTTTTTATTTCACTTTAGATAAGTTGATGAAACAGTTTCTTACTCCCAAAGTTCGTCAGGACTACAAAAAACTCAAGAATACAGCAGAGCAGTTCTTGTCCCGGAGTGGCTACTCAGAAGTGAACCTCAGCAAACTCTTCGCAGATTGTGCTGTGAAGTCCTAAGCGGAAGGAGAAGCAAGCGAATGAGGAGGGCCTGAGGAGGGCTGGTTGCAGAATACAGCTTCCTGAGCACCTCCAGGAGGACCCTCCTTGTTCAGTGTCTCTTGTTTATGTGGATATGGGCTGGGAGGGAGGGGGGAATTGCAAAAATACAGATTCTAACAAGCACCAGAGAAAATCCAAACTGTCCTCTTAGGATATACTGCTCAGCTCTTCCCCAAGTACCTGAAGACCTAGCATGTTGGGGACTGGGTTTCTGGGAGAGGGAAATTGCCACTTGGAGAGTGGCTGGAATGTAAGTGACCCTAGGCTTTGCCCCAGGACTTTAGCAGAGTTACTTTCCAAAAGGGGGCTCCTGGAGCTTGAGGGAAACACTAACATTTTGCCTTTTCAAGAACCAGTTAAACCCAGTCTAAATCCTAATGCTTCCTCAGCCACTTGCTCTGGGAGTGGCTGTGCTTATCAGTCTGGTCTTACAAGTAGTGAGGGGGGATTTAAAAGCCTTGCACTCAGTAGATGAAACAGAACAAACTTGTTTGTTGACTTGCCAGTACACACTGAGCAGGTGTTTTACAGTCACGCACCTTTTTTCCCCTTAAATAGAGAGCTCTGGTAAAGGTTCATAAGACAGTGACACAAAAGCACATTTAAGATACTTTGATGTCCTAACATTTTGTTTAAAATGTGTAGGGCCAAGGATGTAGCACTTGTGACCCCCCTGGGTTCAATCCAGAGGACTACAGAAAAAAGAAAGAAAGAAAGAAAAAGAGGTCGGGGAAAGAATCACTGTGCTGCATCCAGAAAAATGAAGCAGGAAATGGTTAATTGGCCCTGGTGGTTCTTATTGTGTTCTCATTTCTTCAGAATGGTGTCCTCTTTGCTGGCAGCAAAATATTTCAATAAGTCAGTCTTTCCTTTCTTACATTATTTATAAGATTATACTAACAAAATATCTATTTCCCCTCATACAACTATGCATGTACTTTTTAAAATGTTTACCTGCTTTTATAAAGAAAAAATATGTTGTGCTTTTTACTTAAGAATAAAGTTTTCTAAAGGGAAAAGAGTTGTGGTGAATTCTTATCAGGTGCAAAGATTTGACTAGAAGGACAGCAGAAGTTTGACTAGAAGTTTGGCTAAAGTCCCCTTCCCAAATCTCAGCCCATTTTCTCTCAGCACCACCCAGTTCCAAACTCTGCTCAGAGGTTGTTCATGGGGTCTGTCCTGTTTTGAGTAGTTTTCAGTAGAATTTCCTTGGGTTTGGGGTCCTTCAAAAGATGAGCTGGGGGCCAGGGCAGGGGATGTAGCTCAGTGGGAAAGCTGAGTGTGAGCTTAGCATGTATAAGATCCCCAGCTCCAGTACCACTAAAAAAAAAAATGAGATGAGGTGTGTTTTCTGATGTTCTTTGCAGAGTTGGACAACCAAAGAGAGCTAAACTAAGAGCCCCTGGCATCTTTTTGAAGAGCAAAGCCCAGGTCTCCTGGGAGAAAGGTACCCCACATAGAGTGGCCCCTAAGGAAGGAGTAGTTATTTGGTAAACCTTTCGTCTGGTTTTGCCTTCGCTTTTCTCTCCCTGCCTCTCTCCTCAGGTTCTCACCCCACTCTTCTCTTTACACTCAAGTTCAAAGTAGAAACGCTTTGGGTTTAGGTTCCTGTCAGTTCATTAGCATTAAAAACTGCAGCAGGGGCCAGAGATTTAGCTCAGTGGTTCCACCACCTGCCTCCCAACCCCAAGGTCCCGAGTTCGATCCCGGTACCAAAAAAAACAAAACTGCAGCCTTCTCAGGTGGAAGCACCCAGGTTGCTTCAGGAAACTACGGGAATCATAAGGTTCTAGAAATGGCTCTTTGGTTTGTGTTTTTGGAGCCCACACCCTTGCTTGGCTTTCTGAAGAGAAGGCATGTTTTCCTTGATTTCTGGGTGCTAAGATATTAACTATAAACAGAATTATCCTAAACTGGGTCAGCAAGAAACTGGAAGGTGGGGCCGGGATTTAGCTCAGTGGTTCTGTCGACCGCCTCGAAAGCACAAGGACAGGAGTTCAATCCCCAGTACCCCCCCCCAAAAAAAGAAAGAAACTGGAAGGCTCAGTGGAGCATGGTGGTGCACACCTGGAATCCCACACTGGGGGAGACTGAGGCAGGAGGGTCCCCATGAGTTCAAAGCCAGCCTGGAATGCATAGCAAGTCCCTGTCCAGAATTTTATGGAAAGTTGAAACTGCACCTCTGTTTAAGAATTCCAGTGGGTCCCTGTTGGAAGAGTGGAATATCACCTCACTTTTCTCAGAGAAAAGTGTCTACTTGATTTGCCTAGGCTTGAAGCCATGCTGGGTAGAACTAGTGCTAAAAGGCCACCCGCTTCTTTTAAGGGGAGAGCATCTCCACATAGGTCCCCCTGGGCTCTGTAGCACTCTCTTAAGCTCAAATGCTAGAAGAAAAGGGATCAAGCTAGTCACCCTACAGAGTGGCACTGCCTGTCTAAAGGGAACAGCAGTGATTCTGAAAGGGACAGAGCCCACATGGTCCAGTTTTCAAGAGAAGCCAGGGATCTGAATAGCTCATAAAGTTTCTCAATTTCTAAACCTTGGCGACTGATTTTTTTTTTTTTAAGACAAAATCTTAACCACTGTGAGACCCAGGCTAAACCTCCAGGCATTACTGGAGCCGTTTGGGAAATGGTACCTTTAAAAGACCTTGCCTCTGAAAAAGGCACCTTTTCTGTTTAATTTAACAACTGGGATCTGACCTACAGGAGATCCTTGCACACAGGTTTGCTTTTGACACAAGTTGTTCTCAACTCTCATAAAGGCGGTTAGGGAAGGCCAGAAGTTGCAAATCCTACAGAATATGCCCCGTAAGATTTTATCTTGCCCAAAAAGTAGATGGAGTTAATCTCATCGCTGTTGCCCTGGTGGTGGGGGCTAATCAAAGTTGGCAGATTGGAGTTCTCTCAGGAGCTGTAGAAAGGGAATGGATTCACTGCCCCCACCACCACCTGCTTCTGCAGCCCTTGCCACCAACACGCGTGCACACGCGCACCTTGAGGTGCTTTTATAAACATATCGTTTAAAATGTGGCTTGCCAATCGCTTCTTGGCCTTTTGGCTAAGATCAAGTGTAAAATGAGGCTTGCCAGAAGATGAAAAGACAAGGAAACTCCCAAAACAGATTTCCCTATCTGTGTCAGGTTTTATGAAAAACATCAAACCCAGACCCTCTTCTCAGGATCCGAAACCCCTCGATTCAGTGCTATTCCAAGCTCCCATCCCAAACTCCCCAACTTAAATCCCCCCCCCCGCCCCGTCTCTCCATCTCTCTCTCCCTCCCTCTCTCTCTCCTCACCTAAATATTTCTTAATTGAACAGTTTGCGGTGAAGCTTCCTTATAGCAGTTTAATAGATTAACTCATCTGAGCCAGCCTCAAATTTCAGATTAAAATTCCTCCATCCCGAAGGCAGCATTATCAGGTTGTTGGAGGCTGTTTTCAAACCTTGGTTTTGAATAGCAGCGGCTCTGCATTAATTTAACCACTAAGCTAATAAGTAGGTTTCGTTTTGTTATGCTAAGCTTTATTGCTTTTCTTTTGATCAGAATGGTGTTGTTGAGCAAAGCAGCAGACAAGGCATTCTTTGATGAGGGAATTAGCGCTCCATTCTTCCTCTATTATTCATAGCGCAGTGGAATATGTAAGTACCTGAGGGTGTCAAAGGAGCGCAGGTTCTATTGCAAAGTGCTCGCCTTGTTTCTCTCAATAGCTGACTATGAGATGATAAACCGCTTAATACACTGTGCTAATTGGATGAGAGCAAAAAGAGATGGGAATTAAGGCGAGGCAAAAGGAGAAAGTGCAACCAGCCTTCAATTCACTCTTTCACCACTTTAACAGCACCAAAGGAGGCACAAGCTTTCTATAAGCAGACTAGAGGTTTTGTGCAGAGATAAAATGAACATGTTAGTGGATTCAAGTAATACACTAATTATTGCACAGTATAAATACCACTACTGGTTTTATAACAGGGAGGTAAACTTCTTTTGAGAGGGTTATAGGATTGCTTGGCAGTGGTGTAGAACCTAATAAGAGCCCAGAGTAATAACCCCCTGGATTAACAAAATTGCTGCTTGTAGAAGTATGATTCAGGCTTTTACGAAGATTTCCGGAGAATGAATAAAAATGACTGAGTGACATTTCTTAATGTATAACTGGTAATCGCTCCCTTTTCTTTAAAGGAAAAAAAATGTATGCTTCAAACTGGACCGTTAATAACGTCCAGGGACAACACAATTTTTTCTTTGCAAAATGCTTTTTCCCAGCAGGTAGTGGGTTTTCTCCTCCCCGCCCCCCTCCAGCCAGGCTGCTACTATCAGTTAAATATGCAGTTGCTCTGGGGAACTGTGTGTTCCAAAATACCATTTAAGGCTCCATTTAAGACCCCTTTCATTCAGACACTCACTTTTGTGTACACACATACACATATCCTCATGTACACATTTTTCAGCAAATCGGGCTAACCTATGTATGATTTCCTCCAACAGCCCCTTTTTCCATTCTAGTGAGATCTCCGCACTCAAAACCATACTAAACAGAAAACTATAGGTGCTTTGACTCGGTATTGTAAATAAAAAACAACAGTAATAAATGTTTGTCCCCATTGGGAGAAGAGAGTAAGGAAAAAGGTGGGGAGACTGATGGGGCCAATACCTATAACTTTAGTTTGAGTTTCTCCTGACCAGTCTTGCTCCCTCACTCTACACCCAAAATGCTGGCCCTCATTACTGCCCACAGGCCTGGCCACGGGCATTGGTGAGAGAAAAACACGTAATATGCCAAGAGCTCCTTTTCTGCCTTTAGGGCCTCCTTCAGATCTGGCTAACCTGTCTGAAAATGTAGCAAATTGACTTCCCCTTTTCCCCTCAACCTTCCCACAGAGGTCAGTACAGAGCTCCCAATCACCCCTCGCCCCAAGATGCTGGGGGTGGCCCTGGGAAAGCAGGTGTTGGGCCATTCTGCCCTGGGTGTGCTAGGAGACAGTCCTGCCTTGAACGGACTCTCCCAAACTCCCCAGGGTTCCGCACGCACGGCCTCCTCCGTAGTGGAAGAGGTTTGCTTAAGGTTGGGGTGGGGGGGTCAGCCGCTCCCAGCATTGTGACTGCGTTCCCAGATATTGGGGCCAAATTGGGTTGCCATTCATTAATAATGCTCACAATAAGATTAAATCATTCTGGAAAATCTCATAAAATCCCCCTAAGTACGCTCCAGTGGCTCTTTCCAATCCCCATCATTCAGCACTTGGGGAGGTTTGGAAGGAGAAGAAAATTGGTTTCTTTGCTTTTAATGCTGCTTTGAAAAGATACTCAGAGTTTGTCATGCGTGACATGTCACATGTTTAATGTGGACTTGCTGGAAGTCAGGGGGTCTTTAGCGTGCGATATTTATGGGGAATATTAAGTGCAGAATGAGGTCCCTCCAGCTGGGGAAAGTTGAAAGAATAGGAGGCCCAGGACCGGGCTTGTTTGTGGCATCAGAATGACATAGGATTAAGAGTTTGTAAAACAAGGCGAGGGGTTCTCATTGGCCAGTAATAAATGTAATCCTTGGAGGTAATTTCACGCAATTTGCTTCTGCTCCATGGAAGGGTCAAATGAGAAAAAATGACTTAAAAAAAGAGTTCATTAACAGGAAGAATGGTACTGTTTCTCATATATCATCCAACAGGCAGCCTGGGGGGAGAAAAAAGAAGCCCTGCTAAACAATAAGCCAAAACCGTCGGAAAATTGATACTGCCCATCTAACTAAATAACTCCTTCCCCCTCGCCTGTCTTGCACTCTGAGGTTTCCTCCCAAATTCCCCAGCGCCCTGCCCACTCCAGGAAAGTGGTTTGCGCTCGGGGAGAGCCTGTGGAGTCTTGAGTGTTTGCGACTCTCAGCCTAGAGGAATGACCAAAAAGTTCCCACTGGGCCCAGTAAACCTGGGAAAGAAGTGTGGTGGGAGAAGTTGGTGGCGGCCGCTTCCCATGCCCCAGGCTGGGCCCCTGCCCGCGAGCACCACCCGGGCGAGTCCCGGGCCAGGCCAGGAGGGAGGGGACCCACCTGATAGCCAAAGTCCGAGAAGCAGCTGGCGGCCGACAAACCCCGGGGACACGCTCCTCGAGGCGGGCCGGGCCTCCGGATGCCTGGGCTGGGTGGGCAGCCAGGGGGGTCGGGCCGGCCAGAGCACCGCGGCTGCCAGGAGGGTTGGCCACCCCCCAACCCCCAGGGGGGCGCAGCGCCTGGACGGCGGCTGACCTCTGCCCGACCCCGTGCCTTCCCCCTGGGCCGCTCACACTTGCGCCCCAGGCCGCCAGGGGACACGGCCCCCTCCTTCCAGGGCGCGCGAGGAGCCCTACTGGCCTGGGCCCGGAGACACACCGCGCCCCCCGCGTCCACCGACTGGCCTTTGGCGTGGCGGGGCGGCCGGCCCCAGCTCAGGCGAGACGCTGGAGCCCCCCCCTCCGCCCCGCCTGCCCCTCTTCCCAAAGGTCCGGCGCTCTAATTACTGCAAATTGAAACTAATTAAGCTTCTCTTCCCTTTTCCCTCACCCTGGGAGCGTTGGCTACACCCAGCCCCCGCGGGCGGGCTTCCACCCAGTGGTCACCGAAGGGGCGCAGGCAGGGCCAGGGAAGGTGGAAGCTTCCGTTCCCGCCGCGGGAAGGGTGCGACGAGGGGGCTAAGGATCGCAAATCTGTTTGGGTCTCCTGGAGAAACCTGAGTTGTTTAGATTTTTAAAAATGTATACATTTCCCAATGCTTGGATAAGTGATGTAATGACATTTGTCGAGTTAAGACCTGCCACTTGGATACTCCTGGCTGCCTTTCCATCACTGTTCCTGCGCCTTCTCTCTTTCTCTCCCTCCTTCTCCCCTCCCCCTCCCCCCTCTCCCTCTCGTCTCCCTCTCCCCCTCCCCCTGGCTCCATCTCCTTCCTCCCAGCCTGTACCGCGGAGCCCGCCCCCTCGGAAGCAGCGCTGCGGCTTCTGGTTCTCGCCATTACCTGTCATCTCGGACTGCGCACTTCCTCGCTACGTGGCACTTTTCACGAACAGCTTCCTTCGCCTTCCCAGCTAAGACTCCCGCTCGCTTCAAACGTCTGACTGCACCGTCAGCAACGCCTACTATACACCCACCTACCCTGGAATACACCCCACCTCCGTAGCCCAGGACCCCCTGCTCTGGCTGCGACAGGACCCAGGGGAGATGAAGTGCACGAAAAGCACCGCGGCCAGGTCCTTAACCTTCGTAGGAAACCGGATCCCTGACAGAATCAGATTCAAACCAGGGGCCTCAACAGGGAAAATGCGTGTGCAGATCGATCCAGGCAGTGAGGGTGCCTGGCCCACCCCTGGCCCCCGTGGGGGGCCCTTCTAAGGTCCCCTAGGCACCCACAGCAAGCATCCACACTTCCTATTGTTAAACATATAATTTTTTTTTATTTTGAGCGTGACACTTCTCCACTAGATAGCAAGGAAAAGTGATAACAATTACACATTACACAAAAGTACTGTACCATTGCCTTTATCTTGAAGGTTTCGGAAGCCTCTACAGTTAATAAGTTAAATAAAGGGCTTGAGTACATAAATATTTGTCTAGGAACCCTACCGTATCTACAACACAGTAAGAATCTACAGGAGGACAAACTTTTAGCATACCACGCTGAGTGCAATTGCGTTATAACATTTCAAATATACAAAGCTCTGTTCTTTTTTTAATAACAATGGTATGTACAGGATCAATAATCACAGTTTGGTGACTTCAGCAGTCCATATTCTAGCAGAGTATTTCCCTTTGGTTTGATATAAAAACCTTGGTTGGTGTATGATGAAGAAGAGAACAAGAACAAGACGCCCCTTTCCTTTAAGTGCACTGTTAGCTATCTTACAGACTCGCATTCACTTCCCTGGCCCAGGCTTCTGGCCGGGCCGCGCTGGGGAGATCAACTTAGAGAGCCAAAATGCTATTTTAAAAAAGCTAAGTGGGGTGTCAGCAGGAAGAGGGGTTGGGCTTTTGAAAATTTTAACTTCAATAATCAGGCGTCTTGGGGAGAAAACCTCCCCGGTATTTTCAGCAAAGTAAGAATGGGAGAAAGTGGACGTTCCAGTTGGAACGAGGTTGGCAGTGGCGGGGACTGGGACGGGGACAGGGAAGGGGACGGGGAGGGTGGACAGCCAGCCGAGGAGCTGCCACGTCCGTTAGCGCCTAGGGCTGCCTTTCGCGCTTCCAGGCTGCTGCGAAGGCGGCTGCGCTCTCTCAGTGCCATCTCAGGAGTGTGCTGGTCCTCTGTTTCCATTTGGTCTTGAGTGGTGCTGAGTGAAGTGACCTTTCCGGGCGCGAGGGTGGAGGGCAGCCTTTAGCACACCTCCTTGCCCGTGCTCGTGCCCGGCAGGATGTTGAGCTGCGTGAGCTGCGCGGCGTGCTCCTTGGCCTTGAGCCTCAGCGCCGCTATGCTGGAGGCGCGTCTGTCTGCGGCCGCCGTGGCCGGGTCCGCCAGTGCGCCCGAAGCCACCGCGCCCTCCACGGCCGGAGTGGGCTGTCTCAGGAGCGCGGCCGCGGTCGACGCGCTGGTCAGGGGGGCCATGGTGGAAAAGAGCCTGCGGGGAAAGCAAACAGCGGGGTCACGGCCTCGGCGCGGAGCGCGGCTCCCGGGGCAGCGGTGCCTGCCGCCTCTCCCTAGGGCTGCAGAAGGCGCAGCCGCTGCGGCGCGGGCCTCAGGAGGGCAGCTAGCGGGGGCGTGGGCAGTGGCGGGCGTAGGGGCGGGAGAGCGATCGGAGGACTTCGCCAGAGCCGAGAACTGGCGGGAAAAGACCCTGGGACCAGAGATTCCAGAGGGGCCGGAGGCAGGCCCCGCGGCCAAAAACTCCTCGGTCCAGCTGCGCGGATCTGGCTTAAGCAGGGAGTGTGATCCAAGGCCGCGTTCTCCAATTAAACTATTTGCTAAGAGATCGTGTGGAGAGAGGAGAGAAAAAGGGGTGGGGGGAGACTGATCAAGACCTACACTACAGACTCTGAACTCTCGGGCTCCTTTTCAGCCTCAGACTCCCTTTGTCCCAGGCAAGCTGGCCTCGCTTGCTGGCCTTCCAGCCACCAACGTAGGCCCGGCCACCCTCCCGCGCAGGGATAAGCTGCCAGCCCCGGGCCAATGCCCGCAGGCTGGGAGTTGAGGGCGCCCGCCTGTTGATTTCCACTCTAGGGGCAGCGGTGACCTGCCGGCGGCCCCAAATCCGGGAGCGGCGACACTCTTTCCCCATCGCCCTCCAGCGCCTCTGCGACCTCTTGCCTCGAGACTACCGCACGCCGCGCCAGACGATGCTCAAGCCTGGGACCCATGCCAGGCCACCGCCTCCAGGCAGCCTCGGGATTGCTCTGCACCGCGCGTCACCCCTTCCACACAGGAGCGAAGACCTGCAGCTGAGGCCCGGGCTGGCCTGGGCTCCCACCCCTACTGCCTCCCAGGGCCCGCTGGGCTTTCCCAGCCGCCTCTTCCACGGTCCCGGCTCCAGGCCCCCGCGGGCCAATTCAGGAGTTCCACAATTAGAAACGAGCCCACCTGGGCTCTGGGAGCGCGTGCTCCTCCTCCCAAGCCTGCCACCCCCGTCCCCCGCCACTCCGTCTTCCAGACTGATCCCTCAGCCTGATGCTCTAGCCCTGCGGGTTCCCCAGGTTTTCCCAGTCATTTGTTGTCAAGGGGAAGAGTGGGGGTAAAGATACCCAAGATTTAAACTTTTTTTTTCAGAATGAAATGATAATGTGTGACGGGGGGGTGGGGGGGTGCGTAACATGCCTTGGTTCCATTAGGGAAACTGAGTCACTACACTTCAGTGCACTAGCTGTTTAAGCTTGTAGGTTTGTTACAAGAAACTAATTTTACTTCGTCTTATTTTTAATTTTCTGAAAGATGATTTTTAAGTGGCTGCGCAGTTGGATGATTCTATTATTTCTTTGTTCTCCCAATGAGAGATCGTTGAAGCTGCATTCAGTTTTATTTTCACTGCACTTCCCAACTTAATACATCCCTCCTTTGTTTCTTTGTGTGATTATACAGATTTTAAAATTTCATCATTTGATACTCATTTAAAGAAAGGGAGTTATCATATACGATGAACTTTCTTTTATTTCGTTGTCTTGTGTGCTATGGGGCTCTGGGGTTGTGCATGTGTGGAAACAGGTCACTTGAGTGACAAGGAATGTGTTCCTCAGGCTCCAGGATTTGGGCCCAGTAGGACTTTTGCAAAGCTTGAAAACTCATCCCTGCTCTACAGCCCACACCTGTCCGAATTTGCATTCATACCACTTAAGGCTGAGACGACTGTTCTTGCTTTCAAACGTACTTTTACAGCTTTCACCAGACAGTTGTCACCGTTGCTGTCACTGCCAACTGCCCTCCCCTTCCTGCTCAGTTCCAAGTCATTTCCTTCAAGTCTCACATTTTTTAAAAGTCAAAATTAGAGTATTTCCCTTGGCTAAGATCTCTTGAGGCTAGGCCAAAGGAAAAAGTGTGTAGCCCGTCTCTTGCTTTCTCCCTGACCTCCAGCCTCCTCAGCGTGTGTATGTGTGTATGTCAGACAGACAGACAGCCTGCCCGCCTTCCAGGGCTACACGTTACCTGCCGAACGCCGGGCTGATGAAGGCCGGGTGCCGGAACACAGCAGCTCCAAGGAAAGTGCTCAGGCCCAGCGGCGCCCCGCTGGGTGGCAGGCTGGCCGAGCCCGGAGGCGGAGGTAGGCTCGGGAAGGCGGCGGCGGCGGCAGCGGCGGCGGCCGTCCAGGCCGAGTCTAGCGCGGGGTGGTGCGGGGGGAAGGGACTGGCGTCCAGGTAGGGACTGAGCGGATGGGTGCCCGAGAGCGGCCCGGGAAAGGGCAGCCCCGGGGGGTGGGTCTGCGCGCCAGCCTTCTCCCGCTTGCGCCACTTGGCCCGACGGTTCTGGAACCAGACCTGAAAAGCGGAGAGGGCCAGGGTCGGCGCGGCTCCGCGTCTGGGCAAGCACCAGCCCCTTCCCTGGGCGCCCAGGGCCGCCCTCCCTTCCACTGCGGCCCGCGCCCACCTTGCCCCTCTTTGGCCTAGGGTTGCTCTCAGACACATCTGGGGCCAAACGAGCAGCGAATAGGAGCCCAAAGTTAAAGGCAAGGGGAAACAATGGCAAGCAAACCCTTTCCAGTGGATGTTCTAATTAGTCCAGTCTTCCAGGTTCAGGGAAAATGGTTGGTGTGTTCAGAGAGGGGGTCCACCAAATTTTAAATGTCTGCACTGTCCCTTCCTCACTGCAGGACTTTAGGCAAGTCACCTACACCTCTCTGAACCTCAGTTTTATAAGCTGTAAAGTGGGGATAGTAAGTTTTCTGTTGTGGGGAATGAGTAGAATAAGGCAAATGAAAGCACATATTGAATGGTGCCTCTAGAATGGGCAGCCACCAAGAGATGAATGACCTGTTTTGCTGCATATTAGTTATTGTCACCTATCTCAGGTTTACCCAAGCATGGGCAAAACCCCTGCTCTGTCCTGAAAAGGGAAGCAAACGATTGGGGGGTTTTTGCAGGAGTATTTATTGGACACCTAAATGTTCACCGTAATTAGCCAACAGGTCTACATTTTAGGGGATGAGTTGTCCATGAAATGAATTGGGGGGTCACAGGCTGCTCTCTGCAGGGGCCCTATGCAAAGGCAGGTTCTTTGCAGAAAGAAAACCACAGAGGAATAATGCAGTAAAACCTGGGTACACAGAAAGCAGAGGGCAGGATACCAGTAGACTTTTTCCCACCTTCATAGCTAACAGTCCTTTATTTCCTTTTGGGGATGTGGTTTAAATAGGTTATTCAAATAAGATAATTTTAGGTGTGGGGGAGGCTTTCAGCCCAAGGTATTTTCCTAATTCTTAATGCGAAGCAGTTTTTAATAGAGACCTTTGAAACATGGCAGCTACCATCATTAAAAATAACCCCAGGAGCATGAAATTATTTTTATGTGACCTGCTCATCACACCCACAGCTGAGAAGATATGCTCCTTCTACCCTGAAGGCATTAATATTTTTAGGGCTGGATTTATGACTGCACACAAATCTAAAAACTAAGAATGAACTCCAGGGCTATACAGAGTTATATTAAAATATAATGTACATGATGCCTGAGGAATGTGTTAAAAATGTAAAGACGTTCATGTCTTTCAAATAGCCCTGGGGGAGAGGTTGTTGCTAGCACTAAGCAGCTAAGCTTGGTTTGACTTCTAGACAGCCAGCCAGGGCAAGAAAAATCAAGACTCCAAATCAGTTGATTACTTCAAATTCTGCTGAAAGGGGGCCCATCCATAAGACCCATCCCATGGTCTTCAAATAGTCTATTTGTGAACTGCAGAAACATGCCAGGGTGGAGACTGGGAGGTTTGAAAAAGTTAGGCTGTAGATGGGACCAGGCTGGGTGGGCAGCTTTTGTGCATGCAAATCTGTCTAGACGAGAATATCCGCGCCACTCCTCCATCACATTGAAAGGGGTAAAGGAGGGGAACGGGGGCAGTGGAGGCAGAATGCCCTTGAAGAACGTGGAAACCTTTTTGCAGACGATCCTCTCTCTGGCTCAACTGCAATTATCAAGATGTCCCCATGCAATTCCTCATTATTGAATTAATACCTCTGAGGCTCCCCAAAGGTAAACGAAAGGACTCTAATAATTCATATTCACTTAATTACATCTTCTCTAGTGAATAGGGGGAGAGGAGAAGGGGAGGGGGCGCTCTCTTTCTTTTTAAAAGTTATTTAACTTTCCCACGACTTGTTCCCCTGAGCTGAAAATGTGGAGTTGCTGTCACATCTCTGTTTGACAATGGAGAAATGTGTCAACAGAAAGGAGGGGACAGGCCTCATCATTAGCCCTCTAATGCAAGAAGCTGTTGTGTATTAAATGAGCCATATGGAATTTATTGTGCTTTATCAGTGCTTGATTTTGACTGTAAAGTGATTCACTCAGCTCCTAACCCAGGGACATCTGTTTTCTGTTGGCCATTGGGGCTGCCCAGTGTTGATCGTCTCTTTGGTTATGAGGCCTGGGTTCGGAAATGCACTCTGGTATGGGGTTGCAAACACCTTTAATAGCATTGCACTCACTCCCTATTAGATCAATGTGGGCTCATTGCTATAAAAAATGGGAAATCAAATAGCATTAGCCAGCTCCTTGTGCAGGGCGGAGGGGAAATCAAACAGCATTTTGCCTTCAAATGGCCCTGTTTGTTCTAGCACTAAGTGGGCTTTTATGAAGCCCGATTGGAGACTTAATCGCAGCCAAATACCTGCTTGGAGCTGAGCGGATTTGTCTAACAACCAAATCCATGCTCCATCCCATTATTTCAATCAGAAGTCCTCAGTGGATTGTTTTCTATAGGGGCTTTGGGACTGGGGGCTCCTGAACTGCAGTCTCAGGGTCCCTAAAAGCCCTGTTCTTACCCTACATCTTCCCTTCCCACCTCCTAAGTCTTAATTTTTAAATATCTTTGTGCGCGCTCGCACTGTGTGTATGTGTGTGTGTGTGTGTGAAAGTGCTTGGGTCTGCTTTTCTGATTCTGCTTCTCTTTAGGGACCGCCCTCTCCCCAGAGCCCACCGACCCACCTCGATCTCTCTCCCACTGTCCCCCCAGTCCTACCCCCTCCCTTCTTCCTTCTCCGTGTGCAGCTCACCTGGACTCGGGCCTCAGTCAAGTCCAGCCTCATGGCCAGTTCCTCCCTATAAGAAAGCAACACAGACAAGAGGTCACCTCGGGCCCCAGCCCCAGCGACTCCCTCCCTGGCAGGCCTCCTCTAGTCCCTTGGCCGCCTGCCCCATCTCCAAGTACAAGGACATCACCATCCATCCCCTCATTACTGCACTGCCTACTGTCTGACTGAAAACATGAAAACACATGTTGCCAGATGTAGAATATTATGTATTATAACATATTCAAGTGTGACAGGGCGGCTTCATGGGTCTATAATCCCACAAACCTGGACATGCAGATTCTCTCCCTCTCTTGGGTCAGAGGTAAGCAGGAAACATAAGCACACAGGCACACACAGTACTTCTGCTCTGTTTTGTCCTAATACTAAATGGGAGCAGAGCTCAGCCCTCAACTAAAATAATTTTTTCTACCTTCTTGATTTCCTTCTGCCTTTTTAAAAAAAATTCTCCCCTCTCCTCTTTCTGGCTCCCTTTACCCCCAACTCTGGATTTTTCTCCATTTCTCTCTCCCCTACCATTCTCCCTCACTCGCCCCCTTAGGTCACACTCCCCATTACCCTCTGGAGATATGTTAAGCTTATTAAGAGTTCATGGGGTAATTTTTCGATTAAACAAAATTCCGAGCACCTCCTGACTCCAGTGCCCACTACAAACCCTGCCCATCTCAGGGGAAGTCAATTTAGCTGAAACCCTACCCCGTCATTGCAGTTATTACTGCGACAATTAAGGCAAATAGGAAACCATTAAGATGCTGTAGAACGGCTTACGACCTGTTTACCGAAAATATGAGCGCGCCGAGAATAATTGGCTCTCGATTCGCTAATATGAAAGAGCTGGGGCTGCCAGAGCCTGGGCCCCGAGTCTGCGCTGCCAGGAGGCCCCGTCCACACCTGAAACTTCAGCACTAGGAGAAAATCGGTTCGCTGAGTGCCTCCCGTCGCCCCTCCCCTTACAGCGAGCACCAGCAGATCTAAAGCTGCAGTCCTGGCTGCCCCCCAGCCGGGCTACAGCCTAACGGCTCAGACACCTAGGCTGGAGAGAAGTGGGGGTGCAGAGGCGGAGAGCAGTGGCCCCTCCTGGCGCACTTTGGTCCCCCCTCCCAAGCTAAAAAAGGGGCTTCCCTGGCTCACTTTCTTCTTTTGAAATACATGTGTGTGATCAACGCAAAAGCCGGTTGTCCAATTACCTATTTGATAGCACACACTGATTTTAAAATTCATTTCCTTTATTAAAGATAAGGAAGAGACTGGGTGACACAGGGGAGGAGCAAGTTTTGCTCAGGGATAACTAACTTTAGTGCCCTCGCCCCATTAAATACACTTAAATCCAATTGCCAGAGTTTGGCAATTGCTAAACCAACTACATTTTTGAGCTGGCTCAGGCCTTCTGAGTCCTAAATAGCGATTTCCCCTCTGGTTCAAAGGATCAGGCAGCTTTCCCCCTCTAAAAGACACATTGAAAAGCTGCACACGTCTGCTGCGAAGGAGCTGCCTGCGCTTGACAAGCCCTGTGCCAGGCAGACACAGGTCCCCTTCTCTCCTCCTCGTGGTGGTGGTGGTGGTGGTGGTGGTGGTGGTCTTGGGGGGG